ACTAATCAGATTGCTTAAACATGCATTATGCAAGAGCAAAATCTGCTTATTACAAGTCTTTCTTTAGGCCTGAAATGTTATCTAAATTATCAATTAGACATTAATTAACTTATCCAGACCATAATAAACTCTCGATGTCAAGGCTAGCCTTCGATGTTGGCTGGATTAGATTCCTATATGCCACTAACGGCTATTGATAATTAAATCAGAAAAAGTGGATAATCGAGACTATGCTGTTTATATTAATGATTTTAGTAATGATGACCGAGACTATGCAAAAATTTCACCCGCTTCTTTCTCGGCTCATAGTGGATCAATTTGACTGAAATTTTCAGCAAATTACCTTTACACTATCTAGTTTTTAACTATTATAGCGAGAACTGCCATCTCTTTATCTTATCTCCCATAATGTATCTTTATCTCTGCTTACCGTAAACAGACAAGGTTCATCATTGAACTCCATCAAGGCATTCACCTAATGAACGCCTACATGAAGTTAAAACATTCTACCTCGATAAGAAGGAGAGTTATTGTGTTCCAAAGTCTCAACCAATCAAATTGCTTATCGCTCTGCTTACCCTCCGCAGAAAATGTTCATCATCGAACTTAATCATGGTATTGATAAATTAAAGCTATACACCAAGTGTTCTCACTCTCACTTAATTAAAACAAAGTTATCGTGTCCCAAAGCATCAACCAATCAAATTGCTTATCTCTGCTTAACCTAAGCAGAAAATTCTCATCTTCGAACTCCATCAAGGCATTGACCTAATAGACACCTACACCAAGTTTGAAGATTCTAACTCAATTAGAATGAGAGTAAGTGTGTTACAAAGTCTCGACAAATCAAATTGCTTATCGCTCTGCTTACCCTGAGCAGAAAATGCTCATTATCGAACTTAGTCAAGGTATTGATGTAATGAAACTATACACCAAGTTTCATCACTCTCACTTAATTAGAACTAAAGTTATCATGTCCCAAAGCATCAACCAATCAAATTGCTTATCTCTGCTTACCCCAAGCAGAAAATGCAGGGGACAATAAACAGCAGATAAATAATGCTTCATGGATCAGCTTACTGCATATTGTATTTTTTAAAAAAAACCTAACAAACCCCAAAAAATAAATGACACATATTCATTTATGCTCGTAAATGAATTTTGTCAAGGCATTGACAACAAGGTTTATACTATCACCCAATTAGAATAAAGTTACCAATAAATTAAATTGCTTATCTAAGCTTAGGGAAATATGTATCACCAGACCCAATCAAAACATTCACATAATGAATATTACACCGAATTGGAACATTCTACCTCAATTAGAAGCAGAGTGTAAAGACAAGAGAGAAAGGTGGTGGTGGGAGCAATAAAAACCAACAACATAAACACATTTAATTTTCAATCAAGTTTTTAAACATAGATAAAAGACAAACACAGTATTGTTCCCTATTAAGTTCACCAGGATAGAAAGCATTTCACTTTTCTGACACAATAACAAATGAAATACCACATGGGTAGAAATCAAATTTGACACGACCTAGCAGTTTAAAAGAAGAAATATTACTGATCACATATTTAAAACTATAAGTTAAAACATGCTATAAAATTTGTTGAATACTAATTGTTGACATATCATGTATATTAAAACTTATAAAATGTGACATATACTTGTACAGCACCTGATTTGATAGTGCTCTGAAAAGTCTTTGATGTCCATTATAAACATTCCATCATTATCATATAATCAAAACTAGATGTTCAGTAAACTACCCACACACTTAATTTTTTTAATTAACATATTATGAAATGTTCATTTATCATATAATGTAAAAAATTATACACTGCCAGCAAAAAGAATCCAGATGACTATACTGGCTGAGTGATAGTATAAATAAATACCATGAATATCTACATCATGTACTGATTAGTCTAGTTGGCTATGATATTCTTTACATTCACCATAAATCATTTCTTTTATTATACCATTTCATCTATAATACCAACATATACTTATAGCATACAACGTTTTAGTCAAACTTAACATCCACTACTATTCTATCTATACCAATTATACACCTTTATTCAAATACATTTCGATAGTTCCATTTCTTCAATATACCCAGTTTGCATTTCTTATAGGTGTATGACTTGTATTTTGTGCAATTACACAGTTGAATAATACCTATCTGTTCCTGAATTGTTAGTTTTAACCCTTTTTAGTATTGTTTTTTATCTGGATTATCGCCCTTCTTATTGTTGGTATAATTACACTTTAACGTATGACGTCCAGTGGCAAACTACCGTCTTTATGTAACGTCATTCAGAAGACGCCCACCGTCTAGGCTAGTCACATTTTTTCCAATTGGTTCTTTGTATTCAATTTTAGTCTTTTGCTCTGTTGTATAGAAAAAAGGACTTATTTTAGCACGCTTATAATGGTTTATCCCTATTTTTTGATTACTACATAAGTCATTTAATTTTTACTTGGCTTTCTACTAAATTTCACGTAAAAAGTTTCTCGTAGTCGTATCTTCCTTCAATGTGCCTACATTAATATTTCATGTAGCACATATAGCCGATCATGACTTGCACTAGTATGATACGTTTGGGAAATATTCCCTTGTTGTTAGTTTGTTTTTCATTTTGAGTGATGTCTGTTTCACTGCGCATTGGACGCTTACAACTAGCCCCCGGATCCATTCACTTTATCTGATATATACGTTTGTTGTTTGTGATGTCTATATATTGTGACTTGTCCGTAGATTTGTCTTGTATATTTGCTTATGTATGGTGCAGTCCCCTTGACTTACTATTATGTATATGCCCATTTTTTTTACATTCTTTCTCCAAATTTTAAATCAGTGAAATTACAATCAAATTTAACTCATAAATCAACATTTCTCTAGTTTTCTTACATACAGTACAAATAAAGTAATCTGATTAAAATACAGATTTATACTTTCGATTGCTTACACTACATGAAGATCTGACCACTGTTTTGGGACATCGTATCAGAGGTCATATGAGCGGCTTTTGACCCTATATGATGTCAGATATTTGATTAACCAATCAGCATTGATGTTTCTAGTGGATTACCCACAGTTCAGTGCAGCTCACGCCAAAAGCTTGCTGTAACAGACAGTTATCTATGATAACAACTCTTCTAGATCCTAGTGTAGTAAAGACATGTAAAACGAAATTTTGAACTTTAAAAAAACGAAACGAAATAGGATCTGTGTTTTAATCAGATTGTATTTATGTCTAATCAATTGAAATAATTTATTCTTTATTAAAATATCAATTTTATTTGTTTATAAATGAAATTTATAACTTTAAATCAATCTTCTGGTAATTTATCAAGACAGTTGTGTATCAGTCTCAAGTTGTAACAAGCCAACAGTGAGGCTGATGTCCCCCGCCGAAATCCCAAAATAAATAGATGACACATTAATTAATCGCACATTTATTTTTTTCAAAAGTATCGAGCAATCAAATTATACACTAAGTTTCAGCACTCTCTATCAGATAGAATCAAAGTTATCTTGTCCCAAAGCATCGACCAATGTTAATAATTGAACTCAGCCATGACATGACAGCAGAAAATACTCATTATCAAACTTAGTCAAGGTAATGATATAATAAAGCTATACACCAAGTGTCCTCACTCTCACTTAATTAGAACTAAAGTTATCGTGTCCCAAAGCATCAACCAATCAAATTGCTTATCCCTGCTTACTCTAAGCAAAAAATTCTCATCTTCACACTCCATCAAGGCATTCACCTAATAGCCACCTATGCCAAGTGTGAACATTCTAACTCAACTAGAATGAGAGTTATTGTGTTCTAAAGTCTCGACCAATCAAATTGCTTATCTCTGCTTAACCTAAGCACAAAATGCTCATCTTCGAACTCCATCAAGACATTAACCTAATAAACACCTACACCAAGTTTGAACATTCTAGCTCAATTAGAAAAGGAGTTAATGTGTTCCAAAGTCTCGGCCAATCAAATTGCTTATCGCTCTGCTTACCCTAAGCAGAAAATGCTCATTATCGAGACTTAGTCAAGGTATTGATATAATAAAGCTATACACCAAGTGTCCTCACTCTCCCTTTTAATTAGAACTAAAGTTATCAGGTCCCAAAGCATCAACCAATCAAATTGCTTATCTCTGCTTACCCTAAGCGGAAAATGCTCATCTTCGAACTCCATCAAGGCATTGACCTAATCAACACATACACCAAGTTTGAACATTCTAGCTCAATTAGGAAGAGAGTTATCGTGCCCCAAAGTATCAACCAATCAAATTGCTTATCTCTGCTTACCCTAAGCGGAAAATGCTCATCTTCGAACTCCATCAAGGCATTGACCTAATAAACACATACACCAAGTTTGAACATTCTAGCTCAATTAAAAGTTATCGTGTCCCAAAGCATCAACCAATCAAATTGCTTATCTCTGCTTACCCTAAGCGGAAAATGCTCATCTTCGAACTCCATCAAGGCATTGACCTAATCAACACATACACCAAGTTTGAATATTCTAGCCCAATTAGGAAGAGAGTTATCGTGTCCCAAAGCATCAACCAATCAAATTGCTTATCTCTGCTTACCCTAAGCGGAAAATGCTCATCTTCGAACTCCATCAAGGCATTGACCTAATAAACACATACACCAAGTTTGAACATTCTAGCTCAATTAGGAAGAGAGTTATTGTGTCCCAAAAAGTGTGACGGACAGACAGACGGACAGACAGAAGGACAGACAGACGGACAGACAGACAGACAGACAGACAGACGGACGAACCCATTTTAATAGTCCCCTGCTTTCTTCGAAAGGCGGGGGACAAAAAGTTATTAATGTCCTAAATAACCTGAAACATACACTTTAGAGCTTTTTTCTTCTTACTCACACCCTCATGCATTTTTACCATCAATTACATGAAGTTTTGAAAACACTTAATTCAAAGTAGAGTAGATGAAATTGTAAGATGCTTACCTTGACATAGATAAGTAGTTGTATACCTTTCTAACACAATTATTGTAAACTTGGTTATACCATTATAAATACTGGTACATTCATATAGATAAACAGTTAAACAGTAATAAATCCAACACTAACTCATGTACTGTGCACACAGTCTGTCTACAAATAGTCAACTGACTTGGTTAGAATGTGTTCAATGTTGGATCGACTGAAACACTACACCAACTCACACACATTCACATTAAATCTACATGTATACCTTCTTCTTTCACATCCTACCAATTCAGTGGCACAATTCTACAGGTCTCACCACACAGCTTAACAGCTAGGGACACATCAGTTCATACTGTGGAGTTTTATTTACAACCCTTCTACGATTCTGTTTTCTTTAGATACTAAATTGGTAAATTAAACCTTAACTGTTTCTCCAGATAGACAAATAGTGTCCAGTTCTGGCGTCAACAAGATATCATAATTCATAAACAGTAGTTTGTGTATTGAGAGATTCTAGTCAGCAACTACTAATTAATGGATATGTAGTTATATACCCAAGTCAGTAGTGGTTATTTATGATAAATCAATCAGAGACGGTGCATTCATTTCAAAAACTGCCTGCATTAGCCCAGTTGGAGCAGAACAGTAGGACATTAAACTCCATTTCATTTCATTTACAGAAATCATGCTTATCAATTCATGTTTTACAATGAAGTCAAGAAATTTTGCAAAGAATTATACTCACATATGTGGTGTCATTCTTTAGCCAAGAAGGTAACAATTGTCAGTATGAGCATTATATGCTTAACACGTTATTGAGATGCACCTTTAACAACCGTTAGGGTGTATTTCAATATTATAATGATCCAAATAAAGGATCGAAATATGGCATCATCTTGGATCTGCCAGCTACCGATTTAGGGCTGATGAATCATGCGTCTGTTAAAGTTTTTTCACAATTATTATTGACATTAACTAGTATGTATGTTGAGCCAATGTTTAGGTGCACCACCAGGAAAATACAGAATTTTGAAAAGTTTTTTTATGAGCATAGAATTTGGACCGAAACACAATTCTATCAAGTTATATTAAAAATTTCACCAAAATACAGTCATATTTTTACAATTTTACATCTATTGTGTATGCGGGCTATACTATATACCGGAAAACACCGGGAAACAACCAGAAAACAAACGGAAAACTACCGGAAAACAAACAGAAAACACCATGTTATACTGAATACCGGCAAACACCGGAAAAACACTAAATACCGGAAAACACACTAAATACCGGAAAACACCCTAAATAGGTAACCCGGAGCCTGGTCCTCTGGAAAACACCAGAAAAACCTAACCCTAACCCCCCACCCCAATCCTCTGGAAAACACCAGAAAAACCTAACCCTAAGGTCAGTGCTTATTTGGAGACTTAACCTCTCCCCCAGCCGCCCCCTAACTTTCAGGCAATCTGACTTTTTGGGCAGACGGATAAAGTAGTGAAAACAAAAATTATTATTTCATCTAGTTGGAAAAACAAAGTGCCCGAAATCTAATAAAACACCAATTTTACTTTTTTTTTAAATGAATACCTGTTATGAATTGACTACGGATTAAAACATTTTGTCTGCAGTCACTCTACTTTGTGCGACATTTTCAGGGATTGATTATTATTTGTGAATGCAGCTGCAACAGTCTGATTTGATGGTTGGAATTCTGGTCGGCATTGGACAACTTTGGAGTTACTTAACTCACGGGCTAGAATAGCAGAAAAACGCATTTGCAGCGTTTACATTTTCAACTTTTTTCCATGAGGGCGTGACCCCCGTAACCCACGACGATTGGTTGCTTGTTTGGAATTCGGGTCAGCCACCTAAGGTAGGCTATATTGGACCACTTTGAAGTTGCTGTATTCAAGGGCTGGAATAGCAGGAAAACGCGTTTGCGACAGTTAAATTTTCAAAATCTTCTCTCGACAGTCCCGTACCGTGAACTGTAAACGATTGATTGGTTGATTGGAATTTGAGTCAGCCACCTAAATTAGGCTTATTAGACCACTTTGAAGTTTCTGTATTCACGGGCTGGAATAGAAGGAAAACGCATTTGCGGTCGTCAAACCAGACCCATCAAATGGGCACAAAACCAGACCAAACTTTTCTAGAGTAAAATTTTGTGTAGAATACGATGCCAAGTGGTAATCAGTCCCCCCCCCCCCCCCCCCCCGCACCTGCACTGAGCCTCCAGTCTAAATCATATCCAACAGCCTAGTTGGTGCAGAAAAGTTTGAATGTTAAACCCGATTTCATTTCATTTATAAAATGCCAGAGGAACAATAAGCATATCATGTCACAAACGGTTTAACTGTAACAAATGTTTCCTTTTTAGTAGACTGTGCTATGTTATTATTTTTCTTGGAAAAATCACTAGAACATGTCCACAATACACATGGTAAGACTTTGGTTGCACCACCACCCCTTTTTAAAAATCCTGAACCTGAGAACCACTGTTCCAGCTCAATTATTGTGTCCCAAATTTTGTGACGGACAGACAAACTTTTATTATTGAATCTGATTTCAGAATGCTGATATATTTCATACAATTCGGGGGGTTGGATGGCCGAATGGTTAGCTGTGAACACTGTATCATAAGGTCTGTCATTGAGTCAACTGGCAGAGTTTCAATTCCCCAGTTGTACGTGACAAGGAGTAGGGTCGCCTGTCCAACCTCGTGAGTTTTCTCCAGGTCCTCCAGTTTCCTCCCAGTGCTAAAGACCCACACGCGCAAGCGGATTATTGAAATAAAATCGAACCGTGTTAGTCCCAAAATGACCTAGTTTGTATCAAGTGGACATTAAACCCCATCTCCCTCTCTCTCTTTCTCTCTCTCTCTATTTCATACAATTCATGAGGTAATGTTATCTGTAGAAATTTTTTTGGCATTTAATCAAACATGCATGAAAGATTTAAAATAACCATCGCAATTAAATTAATGCGTATTTTATTGCCACGATCAAATATTTACAACAACTTATACCTTCCTACATGGCCATAAAATAACACATTAATGAAATGTTAAATTAGCACAACAGCAAATATGTAGAAGGAAAAGCAGCATAAAATTTCTGTCATTTAATTTTCAGCTGTAGTGATTTCAAGGCTTTACTTTAATAAAGAAAGACATTAATCCAGTCACAAATTTAATTTATCAGGAATGCGTTCATTAGTCTATAACATTGTTTACAGCTGGAGTTTCTAGACTACCAACCAAGGGCTAAATGCTAATGAACCGCAAAGGACAATTGAAAATGAAGGTTTTTTTAAAACACTGACTGTTGCAAGAGTGTTTATCACAATCTGTTAACAGTAGACACAATCACCATACACAAGCTCATCAAATGAAGTTTATATGATATGAGCATTAATCACAAATAGTTAAAGGAGAAGTTTAGCTGTTATTAAAGTTTATTCATTATCTGATATTAATATTCTTTCCACCACTTTCCGCCTTTAATTTAGATGTCAACTAGGACGTCATCAGGGTAACTGCCAGTCACTGTTTATAAACAAAATCATAGTCTTTTTACCGATTTTAAACATTTTATTGTTTCGATGTTTTGTTAATTTTTTATGTTATTTTACATTGTCTTTCCTTTACTGTTTTATAATTACTAGGCAACTAAACTGTATTTTTAATTAGCTACTGCTATGTGCTTCTGAACACTTTGGTGAAAGATATAAATTTATCAAAATTCACAATAATAATATGAAATTTTACCACTTTTTGAGGTGAAGAAACTAACTTTTCAAGTCAAATTCATCTTTTGTATTTAAAAAAAAAAATTGTTATCACGCATCATTATTTAAGAGGACATAAATAAATTCTGACTCCCGTTTTGGACCTGTCTTCAATAAACCCAAATAAAGATATATTTCTTTTTTTATTTAATCAAACTGACTGCAGTAGAACTTAGTCAATGTTCACATCTTTACCCTTTGTACTTGTAAACACTATAAGTAAGTCATTAGATCGAAAACTGTTATATGTTCTTATACAGTAGAATGTGCACTACTTTGTTCATTTTCAGTGAATAAAAGATATCCTGGCATCTTTATTTGTAAACTAAGACCTAAAAGATTTGTACTTTCTACTGAATCTGGTTAAAACTATTTCAATACAAAAGGGGGGTTGGATGGCTGAATGGTTAGCACGTGCGCGCTGTATCATAAGGCCTGTCATTTGTCAACTGGCGTGGTTTCGAATCCCTGGTTATACGTGACAAGGATTAAGGTCACCTGTCCAACCTTGTGGGTTTTCTCCGGGTCCTTCGGTTTCCTCCCACTACGCGCAAGCGAATTATTGAAATAAAATTAAACCATATGTTAGTCCCGAAATGACCCAGTTTGTGTCTCGATGACGTTAAACACCATTTCTCTCTTTCTCTTTCAATACAAAATAATTAATAAAATATAAGAAATATACAATGGCTAAGCAATCATCTTGCAGAAGTTTATCAAGACAATTATATATATTTAAACGTTTTTTAAAATCAGATAAAAATTGTGACATCTAGAGGGTCCACAAGTTAACCAGCGGCTGCCAGACAGGATACGCCCACATTTTTTGTACAATCAGGGGCACTAATCCAGAAAGTTATGCTCTGATATGCGCAAATATCAAAAGGGACTGATATCTTTGGGATATAAAGATATGTTTCATCAAAATCGGATAAAAATTGTGACCTCTAGAGGGTCCACAACCTCCGTATTGCGTACAAAGAGTGGACATTTTTTCGGGCAGCTTCATTTCGATTTTCCCGAAATTCGAATTCATCATTCATTATGGTGGAATGGTGATATACTTAAACGTTTTTTGAAATCAGAACTCAATCAAAATTACGGAGTAACGGTGATATATTCCAACTTTTTTTTAAATCGGATAATAATTGTGACCTCTAAAGGGATCACAAGCTAAAAACAAGATTTTCGTACAATCAGGGGCAATAATTCAGGAAGTTATGATCCGATATGCGCTAATATCGAAAGGAACCAAGATCTTTGGGTTATAAACTTACATTTCAAGTTTCATCAAAATCAGAAGAAAATTGATATACCACATTTTTACACTATTTGAGTACGAGGGGCGGTCATTTTGTATGTCAGTTTTGGTGGGATTTTAACGA